AAAAATTTCTTCAATACCCCTATCACTCAAAATCCAAACTCCTTAGCATGACTTAGAGGAGTCCTGGTGGCATAGTGGTTACTTGTTGTGCTGCTAACTGCAATGCCAGCAGTTCAAAACCACCAGCCGTTCCAAGGAAGAAAGATGAGGCTTTCTATTCCCATAAAGAATTACAGTCTTGGAAACTCACAAGGGTGGCTCTGCCTTGTCCAGTGGAGTTGCCATGAGTCGGCATCGACTCAGCAATAACGAGTTTCTTTTTGTTTATTCCGTTTAGCCTGCCTCAAAGGCCTTTCATGACGGGATCTTTGTCTAGCTCGCTGTCTGCTCCCTTGGACTGTGCCACATGCACCCTGAGCCCCATCGGCTGAGTTACAGTGTGATGGGGTTCCTCACACCAGCGGCACTTTCATGCTCTTCTGCTACTGTACCTGCTGTTTCCATTTCCTACAACACCCCTTTATCCTCTACTCTGCCTCTACTTGTCTCCTTCCCAATCCTTTCTGTCTAAGAGTCTCCAAGAAACGTGAGAAAGGGTCTTTATATATATAAATCCCTAGTGCCTGGCAGGAGGCCTGGGATAGAGGATTGTTATTACATGCCCACAAGGTGATTCCCTGTCATGTGATTCCAAGTCCCGGGACAGTGCACCTTGAAAACCCGATGGAGCACAGCACCAGTGAGACTGTAAATGTGCTGGGACTGAGGAAGTGCCTGGCACCTGCTGAGTGGTCAAAGGAGTTCTTTAGTTCATATGACGGGTGGATGAATAAGAAACTGTGTCTTTGAGCACGTAGGTCCCCTTGATTTCTCTCTAAATTGCCTGGTTTCTGAAGCCCAGCCTGTTTTAAATCTTGCTTACATTCAGATCAGGACTTCTGACTGCTTGCCTTGTTGCTGACGCGATGGCTCAAACTACATCTTCAGCACATTTCTGGTTCTCATCATCTCAGCTTTCTGCCTCATTGCTCTGGTCCAGCCCAGCTTCCTATAGGCCTGGCTTTGATGAGTCAGGCTGGTAGGGTGACCACACAGATCAGTGATTCTGCTAACTGACTGCAGAAGCCAGCAAGAATGTCAAGGTGAAAAGATCTCATCTTAAAAGCATAGCTTCAGGGAGTTGATATGTCGTTTACATTGTCGGATGCAAAACTGATGATCCACAATGTAAAATCCTCATCTGATTCACAATTTAAAACTTGGTTTCTTAAAAGCCTAGCTTCAAGATATATTTAGACGTTTTCAGAGTTTCACCCATTTTATTGCTGAATACTGGTAATTTTTATGACCTCATGTCCACCAGGTTGCCTTTTATATTGGCTTATATTTTCTTTCCTTGAATCTACCGTGTTCTTAGATGTATACTAGCTGACAGTGGGGAGTAACGGCCAGAGAGATCGTTCCCTCGAGGAGATAAGAGGGCCAACTAAATATAGAAACAGAATCCTAAACTCTTTTAGGCCCTGTAACACAAAGACAGTTATACTTTAGAGAGGCATTTCTTGCTACTACATTCCTACCCCTATTCCTGTAGAGAAAATATGGTGCTGTAGTCGTTAGAAGACTCTTATTGGTGTACTGGGTTATGTATGCCTTGGGCTGCTAACCGCAAAGTCAGCAGTTCAAAACCACTGGCTGCTCCACAGGGGAAAGAGGTGGCCTGCTCCCGTAGACAGGTACAGCCTCAGAAACCCGATGGGCCAGTTCTGCTCTGTCCTATAGGGTTGTTATGAGCCGGGAAGCCACTCATTGGCAACGAGTGAGGTAACGTTATTTGTATTGATCCCTATCAAATTTCCTAGTAACAGCAAAAAAGTTAAGAGGGTAAAATTTATTACCGGTCTCCTGTTTGACGAATAAGAAGAATCCTGTGTGATTCTTTTAGAGAAATCATGAACCTACAGTGAAAAGAAAGGAAAAGAGTCAGTCCTCACTGGGCGCTTGAACTTGTCTACATTGATCGTTCA